GCCAGCGGGTTCTCAAGAGTGCTCGGCCTCGGAGCGACCTCCAGCTTGCGTTGGTGTGCGACGAAGCTGATCTTGGGACTTCCATACAACACATTTACGCCTTGCTCTGTAATATCCATCTGCTATTCCACCGTTGGCTGGCTCAGACGTCTGATGAGCCCGTCCTCCTCACCCGCCGCTGAAGCCGCCAGTGCTTTGACTTTGACCACCTTGCCCATCGGCAGTGATCTCTGCAACCCGAAGGATACCACGACGTCGATCTTCGACTTTGTCAACGACGAGCCGTTCGCTGCGACGTTGGTGACCGTGCGGATGTTCAACTCTGGACGGGGCAGGCTCCCAACGACCGTCGACTAACGCTACTTTCACTTACGCCTCCCCCCTCGCCCACGCTACGTGTACGGCTCCGGCGACAGCCAGTCCGCCTCCTCGCACACCCTCCGAATCGCGCGCGCCGCGTTGGGTCGTCGCCCAACGTTACCTGTCCCTTGCCATCGCCGGTTCGTGAGGCATGAGCACGATGATCCCGCGGGCGTCTCGCCAGCCTGGACGAATGTTGTCAATGCGCCACGACCCCGAACCTATGGATCACCTTCCTCACCGTGCATATCCAGTATCACTCAGCGACTTCCAGCACCTCTGTCGGGGAACGGAGGCAGGCGACGTTGCTCTGCGTCAGTGCAGATCTGTTGATTCTGAAGGAGAGCTCCTCGTCGTACGGTGCTGTCGGTGGTCATGAAGTTGGCGGACGACCGCGGCTGGGGCTGCTCGTCGATCCAGAAGACCATCACGCAGGCGCGTAACCTACGGTTACACGAGATGGCGTTTGGCGGGTATGGGCAAAGAGGCGTACGATCCGACGCTTGCTGCGATGCATCTGCCGGAGGTCCTGATGAACCGTCAACTGCTGGCAGCAAGGGCCTCGCTACTACTACTACTACTACTACTACTACTACTACTTGCTGCTGCGGTCGACCTGTCGCGCGATCGAGCCCGGGGCGCCTGTATCGACGTCCAGGTTGGTGGAGACCATGGTGAGTCGCCTGCGTGTTTCGTTGGCTGGGACAGCCATGGCCTGCACGCCCACCTTCTTGCTCCCTGTCCTGCTGCTGCTCACGCGCCTGCTACCGCGTCCTACGAACCTTCAGCACCCGCTCGCGACGGAGTGGCGGCGTCTCGAAGAGCTCTTCCGGCCGGACTCGATAGTGTCGACCCTCATTGTACTCATGCATCCCCGAACGCTCGATGTCGTCGAGCGCGTGATCAGCGATGTCCTGCGCGAGCTCGTGAAAGCACTGCGCGACTAACACAAGCCCGGATCCACGGAATGCATCTTCGCACACACCACGATCTGCATCACGAGCGAGCTTCGAGTGAGTTCATGGAATCGGTGGCTGCTGAAAATGGGGCTGCTATCCCAGACATAGCATGAGGGGCGTGCCGTAGCTATCGCTGCATTCAACGGCGACGCTGGCGCTCCACGCTCGAGTCCTCTCACCCCGAGTGCGTTGGTAGAGCAGTTGTGTTCGACTTCGCGGACAATGGCCTGGGGGAGTCGTTGCTAAGCTGAACAACCTTAGGACGGCACGATCTGTGGGTTGTTGGGGATGCCGTCGTAGCATCTCGTTTGCTTCTGGAACAATGATCCCGGAGCGGCGCTGAAGCCGCCGAGTTCCGGTTACAGGTGCCAGGTGCCGTTTGAAATGTTATGACTGAATTTTGGGATCCTACTACAGTGCGCCCGTATAGCTTTTTCTCAGTTGACTGTCTCGTCGTTGTCGTTCACCGGGGCTGGAGCCTATTATTGTCCCCGAGTTTCACTCTTGCAATCTAGTCATGTTACTTCGCTTTCATTGGAGAAGGTCAAACTCTACTCCCTACTGTACTTGACACTCCGGAACGGCAGCCTGCGGTTTACATTCCTGCCAAGAAGGGAACGGGGTGTTGCGTCTGCACAGACATAAGCGGAGAAATAAGGGTTGCCTAAACACTCACTACCACGATTGCGCCGTACACAATCAATAGCGCAATCATAACACCCCAGCACATGCGCTCGAAGGCGCTGGTACCGGACTCTTGGGTGCCCGGATCGCGATGCGCTTCAGTCAGCTTGGTTATCTGAGCATGGCCGTGCTCAGAGCGAGGCTTGCAATACAAAATGACGTCGGGAGGTCTGCGTATGCTCGATCCTGCAATCGCCACCAAATGCAGGTCAGTCACAGTACATGTCTGCTCAATCGTGAGTACACAGAATGCCAGCCTGAGCTCAACGTACCGCGACTTGCTGGACCAATCCGCCCTTTGGGTAAAAGAGAGTTTGAACGAGGCTGCCGTCCACAACATTGTGCAGTAAAGCACGACCCTTGTCCGTTCCGGACACCAGAATGTCCCCGCCTTCCCCAAACGCCATGTACATGGGATAGTAGATGTCTGGTGCTCCGATGTCGATGCTCTTGATGTGTTTCTGCTTTTTCAGAAGGTTAATTTCGATGGTGGATCCCGTATGGGCGGCGAAGATCGACTTTGTCGGGTCCACTGCAACGGAGGCCCTGGTGATAAACGGTAAGTCTGGTATCCGAGAGCCATGCAGCAGGTTACAAACATCACGTCCGGGCCATCGTCCCTGTGGCCAGTCTCATGGCCTGTGTCATAGTCAAAACGCGCCCTTGAAGGAAAGGTCAACTCAATCACGGAAAATGGCCAGGTTTACACACATCGTTCCCCCGGTCGCGCTAAAGGCCACAATTGTTCGAGACGACGCATCGAACTTCACAGTCTTCGGGCAGAAGGGCGGAGGCAGGTCAACAACGAAGAGCCGACGAATTTGATCCCCTGAGGGGCTGACAAGGCAGACCAAAAGGCGGCCATTATCTGTGGAAACTGCAACGCAGCCCCACTCGTCGCATGGTACAGAACGACGAAGAACGTCCATTGACAAGACTTCTGTCTGTTCTTCTGAGCACCGAATGCGAGTTGTATGACAGAAAGCCTGGATTTTGTTCAGTGACGCTACGTGCGAAGAACGGTGTCTCATACGCCTCTGCTCGCGACCCACTTCCAGATGGCTATATCGCCACGCATCGAGCCCAGTACCAGAATGGGGATGCCCGTGTCCTCGAAGTGTAGCCACACCGAGCGGGTATAAATGTGCTTCTCTGTCAGCGTCGACGGAGGCGAGGGGATGGCGACGTCCTTCTGCGTTGCTACATCCCATATACAGACACCTGCATAGCCTTCAATTCGCAGAGTCAGTTGCTTGTGTGATACTAATGCACGCCTAGAGCATACCAGTTGCCACCAAGAATGTGCCGCACGCGGAGAAACCTATGGACAGGACCCCGTCCTTCTGGCCGGAGAGAACGGCGACTTGCGTATACTGAGTCATCAAGAATATCAGACCCACAGTGAGAGGTGAAGAGTGGAGGAAAAGGAAGGACTTTGCCTCGCATTTATATCTCTGAAGGGCCCGAAGACCATCTTGAACGCAGTGGCATAAAGACCTATGTTCTCATTTGCGTGGTTTTCCATGCGCCCGCCAAGGCAATGACGATTGGTCCGCGCACTAATGGTCGCGTAAGCCACAATGGACAGCTAACATACAATGGTCAAAGTTATAAAGGGAACGGAGTCAATACGCATGGTTGGATACGATGGATCCTTGGAGTTGGCGGGGAAAGGACGGTGCACCTCGTGGGGCAGTGTGATCCGTCGGACTTGCGTGACGGCTTGATGCCATGCGACTCTTATCACGCGCAGTTGCCGAGATCACGCGTGGCCATGTTCAACTTCACGATCAGCCGTCGCGGCATATGATTTCTTTGAGCTCTCATATGCCATGCACTGACAGACTGATGTCTGGAGTACGCGGTCTCTGGCCGCCATTCTTCCTCCAGCAAGGAAAGCGATGGCATGCTGCAGCTCGCACGACTAGGCGTGAATGGGCGCGCTGGGCTCGCCGAGGTTAGCACCCTCACAGGAATCGGGCAGGTCAAGATGCCTGTTATCCTCCTGGTGAGCCCACCGGTTCCACCTCATCGCACCGTACCGGCCTATATACAGACCACATTTCTTTCCTGATGCCATCAAGTTACTCCCTGCAAAACGTTCCTTGATCAGTGCCGGTAACTACCCTAGGTCGGCATGATAATCCGCGGCGCATTAAGTTGCTCCGGTCCGCCTTCGCGCGCGATGGTACAAAGCTCGGCGGGCCCGACGCGGGCGCCCATGCAAACAGTGACATACGAGCCATGCAGCACGCCCGCGCTTCTGCCGCGCGCGCTGTACGAGAGGGGAAGGTCAACGTCATGTGCTTGCCACTGGAGACCACGAGTGTGGAACAGGTTTCCTCCGAACCTTAGCTCTCATCTATCTGACTACGTGCTCGATTAGCGACTGATGACGTGTCCGATGCACGCTTAGCCCGGGATCTCTTTTATTGTAGTAACATTACAGTGCTCTATGGGACGTGAAGCTTCAGAACGCCGCGGTGATGGATCACCAGCCATAACAAGATGAAAGAGCAGGCCCAAGAAGAGATGATCTAAGTGATATTCAGTGGCGAAGGAAGGAAGAAATGGTCATTGACTGACGAGGTTACGCCACGTTGTCCCTCGGAGTGAATTTCCATTTGAAGGAGTCGGCGGTGTACAAGCCATTAAGTGGACTTCTGCCATGCGCGGGAGTAGGCCATCCCAAGACTCGAGGTCTACAGCAAGGAGCTCGCTCGTACCGTCGAACATCACGCGAACACGCCTGTACCAGAACTCGTCCCCTTCGATGTCGTCAGGTGGCTCAGTATAGCCAGACTCTGCGAGAAAGAATTCCCTGAGTTCCTAACGAACGTTGGTGAATGTCGTTTGCGAGAGTTCGATGACCAGAAACGTACATTGAGGCCGTTGAGCTGAAGCTGGCGTCTGCTGTGGGCCGTCCTGTCGTTTCCCACTTGAACGATCAAGACTGAGTCGATGGGTTGGGAATCAACCGGGAAAGGTTCGAAAGGTGGGCCCGCAGTCAGAGTTGGAGACGGAGTATAGGATATGGTGTCGGAGGCCATGACAAGGGCGAGATATTCCCAGCGCACCTGGCAAGCTTGGAGAGGATTAGCACGCAGTCTGGAGTTGAGGAAGGTATCTTATAAGGCGGTATCCATTCCTCGTCACAAAGCAAGAGATTCTTTCCATTGACTTGTTTCAGCGCATTGATCATCCTGCGCTTTCTTCCATTGTCGGTTGATCGGCTCTGATGAAGGGAGGTTGGATTGGCAATGAAGCTGCTTGGACGCACTAAGGAATCCATAATGCATGACTGCACGGCTGAAGCTCGTTTCGGGAAGAACTGAACGAACCGGTACCTCACAT